TCTCACTCCGCGTATCCTTGTCGCCCCTGCCTGCAGCCGTCCTTCCTCCGCTCTGCAATATTTGGCAATGCATGCGGGCTGGCCGGAATGCCGGAGCGGCGAAGCGCCGGACGGAATGGGGACGAATGTCAATGCATAAAATTCATTCAATGACTTTTGCAGCTATTTTTCTTCCATGACGAGGGACTGTGGGCCAAAGGGGTCAGGCAGGAGCGCCCCCTTCCAGGGAAGGGCAGACAAATAAATTGCAAGACATGCAATAAGACGGAGACGAGCCAAATGTGTGTCTAAGTGTGTCTCTGGCTCGTCTGGTGCTGCTCCATGGTCTCCTTCTGGTATGCAAATAAAATTGTACACGAAATTGACTTTATGCAGGGCCCCAAATGCAAACACACACGTTTTTTGTCTGTGTGTTGCTTTGGGGTGACCCAGTGCCAAATTTGTTATAATTTGATTAAAAGAGTGTCTTTGACAATGCAGTTCTAGTGCCTTACACTAAAGGGGCAAGCTTCAGAAATTATCTTATAAATTATAGCCCTTTAAAATATGTAACTTAATAAATATTAAAAAAAAAAATAAGCTAGACCCTCATGTAGTTTTCAACTTTAATATGAAAAGGTTGCCATACATATTTTTTTAAACCATTTTTAATCTTTAAACGAATAGAAATAGCTCTTTCAAAGGCTCACTCTAGAGTCCATAGGTGCAAGTTGCAAGCCTTTGAGCAGGACATGACTTTGACTAACGTTGCTGCTGCATGTAAATGGCACCATGCCGCCACCCAAACAGGCAAGCCAGGCCAGCCCAAGACCCTGCCACTCCGCCACTCTGCCACACTGGCACACGTTTCCCCGTAATCATCCATTATCCTAATGCCAGGTCCATGCCCAGGTCCCTCGAGTCTGACCATGTGCCTGTGTATGGGTGTCCAGGATGTGTGTCCTGGTCGATTGGATTATGCCTTTAACCTGCGTACACTGCTCGACTTTTCGAAGCCTTCGCAGCGACATTTATTAATGATGCGAGTGGAATTTTATTTTGGCCCACTTCTGGCTGTCTGGCTGGGGGTGGTGAGGCACCGTGGTTTCGAGTGGAGGCCAAAACGATTTGTGTAATCGCTGGCCGCAATCGTTTTAATTGGCCCCCCAATCAATCGATAGTTCAAAACTGTAAAATCCGAAAGGGCAAAGGACCTGTCTTTGTGCGTCACCGCCATGGGCGGAAGAACCCTTCAACGCCGCCCACTCGCCACTCCGGCGTATAATTTAAATGTTTGATTCAATTTCCTAACCCATCCTGCGATTATTTGTATATTTCGCCCGACGGCATCTGCGGCGATTCTCAGGCCCGGCTGCGGCTCGGGGGTCTCACCTGAAATCAATACTCATAAATTAAAGTCGTAAAATGGCAACATATACAGCAAATATAAATAGAAGCCAGACACGAATTTTCAAGTGCCGTCGCCAGTTAGGGAGCAGGGGGGAATATCAATCGATTTACTACCGATTTACCAGGCTGACGTTTTACGGCTGAGCATTTGGAAAAAGCACCGAAAAGAACCAGGGCTTGGTCGGAAAGGACAAAGTTTAAAGCCCGAAGTAGGGTAATCTCGGCAAAGGCTGGCTTCCAGGCCCAGCAAGAGCTCAATTCAATTATCATGTATGTGTTCTGTTTATTGAGTTAAAGTGATTTGACGGGATCGTCGGGCCAGTTCCGCCGGCAAGACACTCGGCTGTCAGGCCGCACTGACGCGACCTCCAAATCCCATTTAAACTTTCAGAAACAATAAAAATCGCCCTACATAATACATGAGCCGCCGTGTCACGGCAATCCCCCCGCCAGTCAGCCAGACAGACACACAGTCAGATAAACAGACAGGCCGAGTAAGTTTGCCGGATTAGTAACTGAATTTTGAAACAAACAAAAGGGGGGAAGCGTGTTTTGCATTTGAAACGTAACCATTTGGCGGAATCATTACGGATGTGATTGTTTGTTGCTGCCACCAACCACCACCGACCACGATTAAAAATTCATTTAATTTCTCTCAAGTGTCTAATAATGAATGAAGATCAACTAGACAAGTTGACCAACATTGCAGACTAACTTTTTCCCATGAAATAGTTTGGGATAGGACTTTAATGTTCAAACTATTTTAGTTGAATAAATAGTTAAAGCAGTCAGTTAAATGGTTAAAAATATGAATAAACGAAATGAAAGATTTCACATAACTGAGTTACTCAGACTAATTACATTTCAACCAATTGCTTAATTATCTTAAATCCTTATTAACTTTGTCTTTAGAGGCTTGGCAGACTCAAATTGCATTTGTCATGTAGAAGAGACGCCTCCGAAGACAACAACTGTCACCCGACACTGAGGCTCTTCTCTGTGTTTCTGCAATGGTTGCAAGATAACGTCAAGGTGCAACCGCACAAGGAAAATATCTCAAAGGCATTCTGGGTGGCAAGAGGAGACTAAAGTATCAAGTTGTTATGTTGCACATAATTATATCAGAGCCGCGAAACTTTCCCGGCAATTTCGTCGACTGCCAGTCAGTCAGTTAGTCAGTCGGTTGGTTGTTAGGCGAGGCAGGTGCAGGTGCAAGAGCATGTTGCGGCAGAACTTTTATGAGATGCTGAGGCTGACAGGCGGCTAATTAGATATTCTATCGTTCCTATATTATGCACTTGGCCTGCCCTGCATCCTTGGAATGCTGGTGCCGAGTGTGTGGTGTGTGTGTGTCTCTATCTGATTCTGGTCAATGGACTCTTAAGAGCTGAGGAATTCCAATTTAAATCGAATTTTCGGCATGTGGCATGTGAAAGGCATGTGGCATTCTCTATTTTCACAGTCGGAGACTGGCCAAGTGTGTCAATGCAGTAGTGACTCAGAGAGCTTGACATACAAATTTGTGGTACATTTATTGGCTTGTTTGGTCAGCCCTCGCACACGTCCCCACCTCTACCTCCAACCTCCAACCTCCGACCTCTACACACATTTGGCTCACAGAGGGCAAAGGATATTTAAATGCTAAGCTGACGCAAAGTCAGGGGCTATTGACACACATTGGTACGAGTATTTGCACAGCTGGTGAGCCGAGACGGAGACGGAACTTTTTGGTTCCGCTTCTGGACTCTAAACTGTGGACTCTGGACTGTAGATTTCGGCCTGCTACTGTGGTCTTTTTAGTACTAGTGTGTGCGCTTTAATTTGCTTTATTTATTGCACACATTACACATATTGTAGTCCTATTGGCAGTCTGCAGCTGGCCCTCGTTCGGCTTGTCCTTAACGATAACTTATGCAAAAAGTTGAAACTTTAAATAAATAAACTCTGAGGCGAGGGGCCTGAGCACACACCGCACACACCTTACAATTTGTGGGGTAAACATGGCTTTATTTTAGTTTCAATTTTCGCTTCGTTATTTTTCCTCACACACACACGGAGGACGGCGGCTGTTTGTTTTTAGATTGCCGGTGCCTCCGTTGCATGTTGTCTTTGCCGCCGCCATCGTCTTTTTGCCGCCATTTTACGCTCGTTATGGCAACACTTTGGCTCAAAAGCAAACGGCAGAGTCGTCCTGACGATGGCAACACATCTCAAACGGCAGGGCTCGACGCCTTCGCACACAGAGAGAAAAAATGCATGCGGGCTGTTTGGCAGCAGCAGGGTGGAGAACTGAAATAAAAATTCATCTCAAGCAGAAACAACAAGGGAAATGCGGAAAGCGCCTTCGCGCCTTCCTCGGAGGTCCTTTCCCCTTGACTCCCACTATTTTCCCCGCTCCTTTATCGTCTGTGTTTGCCTGCATTCGCTTCGTTGACTGGCAACTTTCGTCGCCTCGGCCGTCGTCCTTCGTCCTTCGCCCTTTCCACTGCGTCCTTAGTCCTTCCGCCATCTCGCCCACGTGATTGACTGCAATGCAGAATGTCTCCTTGATGTTGTTTTTCTTTCGCTACAAAGAGAAAAATAGTCGTCAAACTAAATTAATTTGATTAGATTAAAGGTGATCTACTCGTACTGTATGACTACTCCTATTGTATTTTTATTTTAGTAAACCCCTAACCTTTTAAACTATCCAGAATTTCTTCAAGTGATGATCATTTTCCCGAAGCGTTCTACACCAAAAGATGCGTGTTGCATTTTCCTCGTGTCTGTCTGCTCCTGCCTGTCCCCGAGATTTGTTTACATGATTGTGAACGGGAGTGTTTGCTAGTCACCCCCTACTCCTTGCTTTTCCAGAGTTTCCAAATTTTCTCCGACGCCGTTGCATTAGCACCCTCGATTGTTTGCATTTCCTTTGAGCCAAATCACAGCAAATTATATTTTTATTGATTCGTGGCAAACATTTGTGCGCGATTTGCCCGATAAAGTGGCAAAGTGAATTAATTTTCCTGCTTGGGGACTTAACCGATTGGTGGCACTCCAGTGCATTCTGCATATTGCGCATACGCCACCGACATGGCGGACTTAGATAGCGGCGAAGTGAAAAAAAATCGAGGAAAACCCGCAACAACTAGGGAAAGCGGCAGTAGCAACAACTTTTCGCATTTACCAAAAAACTTTTCAACATTTTCTTGTTACCCGCTTGCTGTTGTTTTTGTTGTTGTGGCTTCTGCATTTTTTTCGACCAAGTTACCAAGCCATAGACATAGACCCACTGAGCAAATTGTAAATGAAAAAGTTTTGATGTTATTCAGTGTTTGCAGGGGGCGGAACTGCCGTCTAGCTTCCTCCCCCTGCCTTTCCGGTTACTTGTGCGGCTGTTGTTGCTGCTGTTGCCACTGTCGTTATTGCTGCATTATGTCTATTGTTGTCTATATAAATTTTTGTTGAAAGTAATTGTAAATGCTGTTCATAGTTTGACTGCCGACGCGCCTGTCTCCTTTCCTTTCCATTTTGCGGTTGTCAATTCAAGAGTTTTCCATCGCCAGTTTTCCCAGCTTTTCCAAGGCTAACAGCCAGCGAGCCCTTGCCTTAAATTTAAGAATTTGTTTCAGCAGCCCTTTGAATAAAAATAACAAAGGTATTATCCAAAAGCATTATAAATAATGGTAATGCCGAACGCTCAAAGAAAGTGCGAACTACTCACCTAATGAAGACCAGTGCTCAAATCTAAGCATAAAACATAAACTAAATAATAAATAAGCACAAAAATCAACTTCAAACCACATTTGAAGTGGAGAAGGACCTGGAGGAGGAGGAGGAGGTTAAAGCCACAACATGACCCGCTTTCGCATAAAAAACCTGAAAATCCTCTCCTGCTGCCTCAGCGTTTGGGTGGTGCTCTTCCTCTTCGGCGGGGCGCTGCACCTGGCCCAGGGCAGCGAGTTTCCCGAGCGCGAATGTTGCGACCTCACCACCACATCCACTGTGGGGCCCCTGCCCATGCCCCCCGCAGCGCTGCCCACCGACAAATCACCCTCATCGGCCACAACGGCCTTGGAGACGGATCTGGCCATCGGACGATCGGGTAAGTGGATGCGGCGGTTCCGGAAGTGTTGCCAAAATGGCTGTTAAAAAGCTAGATGTAAAAATATAGCTTAAAGCACAAAAATTTTCCTTTAAAGTTATAAATTAAGTTATATAGTAACTCCCGTATACTAAGTTATATACTGACACTGTATACTGTATATTTACAAATCTTGGAAATCTTGTGTACGGGTCTTTAGATTTTTATTTTGATTCAAGTTCGTTTAAACAGTTTTATAAAAAAGTCCTTTCACAGAAAAGCAGATGAATTTTAACTATTTTATTTTAAATTATTTAATTTTTCTTAAATTTATTTGGATTATATTATTTAGAAAATTATATTTTAGATTCCTTACATTCCTTATTTTACATTCTTTAGTAGATAGGAGGATAAAAATTGTATATCAATTAATAACGTAAGAAATCATTAATTAAGATAATAAAGACAGAGCATATTTTAAGACCTAGGAGGGTCTTCCATAATCACAAGCTGTCACCACTGGCTAGTGAACTGTGGCCAGGTCGCTTGTGGCCGATTGCCTATTCATAGTGCTTCACTATAAATGACCAAGTCTAATTGCCAAGCGATATTTAATGGCTGAATGAGCAGGACTCGGCCCGGGGACCTGCCAATGGAGAGATATACATATACCGGTGGACACCATCATCGCTTATGCTCCAATTAACACAATGACCTTTACGGGCCAGTCATCGATGCAGCGATGCTGTGGTCCCAGGAACCCCCACGGGCAAGTCAGACAGTTTGAAATGCACTGGGTGTGGTAAAAATTTGAAATTCAAAGCAAACGTCAGCTGTAAAACAATTTATATTCACTTCGAATTGAGGTTTTGTTTCGCATTTTATTGTGAGGCGACACGACAGGGGGGTTGTGTGTGTCGTGTCTCAGTTTCTTGCTGCCAACTTGACTCGAATTAAATGTTTGCTGAGCGTTGCTACGTGCCCTAAACAGCAGCAGCAATAACAACATTTGGCTGCAGCAGCATACTAAATAAATATAGCAGTCGATTGAGTCTCGGAAAACTGCACAAGTTATAGAATATTTTTGTGTCGTGAGCTGAATTGGCGTTTGTTGTGGCACGTGTTGCGGTCAAAAGATGAGCTCGATTCGAAACCACATAAATATAATACCAGATTTTGGCGAAATGATGTAACGCGACCTTATTTTGCTTGAACCAGCCATTTAACAGCCAGCCATTATTTAATAGATTTTAAAACCATAAGAGAATCGATTTGAGTTCAACAGCCTTCATTGGGAATTTCACAATTAACACAAAAATTATTAAGTTACATTTTATAACAAGAAAATCAAGTAATAGGCTCAAAATTTTCGCAACTAGTAGGTGGGTACATATTTTATTGTATGCCAACGGTGCGTATGAGTTATATATATTTAAAATATGTATATAAAACAATAAAAATTTGACGCATATTTTGTGGACATTATCATTTCGAAATGACCATTTTGTAGCCCAGTGTAGGCCAAACGACAGCGGATTACGAATAATAGACGACTCGGAAAATTGGTTGTATATAACTTCCCTAAATGCCAAATTAGCCACGAATTAAAAATGTCAGTTGGAAAAGTTGAAGCCTCCACTTTACGTTGAAAACTTCCTCCCTGGCCACGGGAGGGGAACTTTAACTATGCCGGACATTTGACGGGCTTGAGGTAAGAGCCGCAGTGCATTCACCCCACTTTGACCTGGGCTGAGACAGAATCAATACACGCACGTAGGGGCAGAACCAGACCGGGTTGGGGGGTGGAGCCTATGCCATCGTAATTGAGTTTATTAAATAATCACAAATATCGATTGATTGTGAGTTCCAGCTTCAAAGAATGCAGGGGGATACACAGGTAAAGGGCCAATCGGACGGCACAAATACAGGAAGTTTTTTAAGCAGCAAGCGTGATAGACTGGCGACGACTGTCAGGATAAATTAGTCATTACAGGAGGCTCTCAATTTTCCAGACAGACGCAGGTCGAGAGAGCTCTAGAAATCGATGAGATGCCTAGGAAACGCAGGACTTTCTAGCCTTTCGGATCTCGGTTAGCACAGAAAAAAGTAACAAAGAAAGGCAAACGGTAAAAAGACATAGTCCTTGCTGCAATGGGTTTGACGTTGAGGGACATAAAAAATTCCCGTTGTATGTAAGGCGAGCGCCATTTTGGTTTTTTCCTTTCTGCTCCTAACAATGTTACTTGGACACTAGTTGGATTCTTGAGGGGATGAAGGTAAAACGGCAGGAGAACGTGTGGTACGTCGAGAACATCTTGCAGTTTATGTATATGGCCTTTAGATTGAGTTGGCACGAATGTACACAAGTTGTTCGAATTCGCATTTGAATGGAGGAATTTCCTTTAGTGGCCGAGGACGACGGATGTGCCTCCTTGAGTTGTGGCTTTCTGTCTGCCTGACTGTCTTTCTGTCGGTCCGTCTCTGTGTCTACATGCCGGTCTGCCTGCCGTTGTACTAAGCCATGACATAAGATTTTAATCAGCATAAAATTTTCGTTATTCCTTATACCTTCGATTGCTTTTTCCCTTTTCAAATATGCAAAAAAAGAAATACTATAAATGGTAGTTGGTCAAGAAAAATGAAAATTCATGTTTAATGTTCGATTTTTCCCTCTTTATTCCATTTTTTTGTATTTTAACTATTTGCCTTGGATTTACTTGCACATCCTTTCATAGTTTTGGGATTTCTCAGTTAAGTTTATTGAAGAAAACTTTACTCCCTCAATTAAACTTGCTTTAGCTCCGTAAGTCCTTGTATTTATAACAAACAATAGAAATTTACTAGAACAGCTTATTTAAAAAAAAAAATTAATAAATATTTTATATGTAATTCCTTAAATTTTCTAATCTTCTGAAAGGCCTAATTTTTTTGTTCAACGTCCATCCATTGAAAAACCATTTGTTTTCTTTTCTTAATAAATTTTTAAACGAATCTGTCTCGTTATTTTAAAATGGTTCATACTTTTTACGATTTAAAGCTTTAGATTTATCTTTTGTATGCCCTTTAAGCAAATATCTCATTTGTTTTACCAAGCAAACAGTTTCTTAAATTTCTGGCTTAAACTAGTTAAAGCCCTACTGCTGCCGTATTTTCTCGCTAACACGCTTACCCTTAAATCGCATCAATTTTAAACGCAACAGACACTTTACTCTGCACACGGACACAAACACTCGTAAGTTATTCCACCTTAATTATATTGCAACACCCCTTGACTGGACTAAGGCCCTCGCCCGTGCCCTCCCCGCTTTCTTCTGCTTCCTCCCTTGCCAGAACCGATGCGATTCTCCTACCATTCCGACCCAATTCGAAGCGTTCGCCGAGCACACAACGCGCCCAGGTGCCTGAAGGTCCATGTAACACAATGTTTTATGTACTGCCCATATGTGTGCTCCTGTGTGAGCGCCTGGGAGTGTGTGAGTGCCTGTGAGTGAGTGAGTTAGTGAGCAGTGTGTGTGCGTGAATTAGTTATGAAGCCAAAGTCAAAGTGGGTCAGTCAGCTGTAGTTCTTCTTTCGCTGTTGCAGTTCTGCCTCAGCTTCTGTTGCACTGAGTGCGACCATATTTTTAGAGCCCCGCCAATGCCAATTTAATGTTATTGCGCATACGTGCCGTTGGCCGTTGGCATTATCAATCCGCCCTGTGTGCCTGTGCGCCAGTATGGCAGTATGGCAGTGTGCCTTCTGTCTTACTGCAGTTAAAATTGTAATTAAATTCAATGCCCTCGCACAAATTATGCATGCGTGTCACATAAAATGCAACACGAGGAAGACACGACTGCAGCACAACATACATTTCAATTTGTAGCACTCTCCACCAAAAAACAGAAAAGAAAGCAGGACAAGCTCTCGACACTTAACCTTCAGTGGGTCTCCTCCTTAAGGTGATGGCATGCTGCGGCGACCTTCATCAAATCAACGAAAGGTAGCACACAGCATGGCTGCTTTTGCTTTTTCCTTTCGCTCTTGCTTTCTGCTTTCTGCTGTTTGCCAAGCAAATTAAAAATTCAGCAGAAAGACAGAAGGAACCAACGACGACGTCGACGATAAGGACGACTACGGAATAGGTTGGTCCGTGGTCTCGACCTGTCTCGATTTCACTTGAAGGGGGACTAAAAAAAGTAAATTAAAATTGTCTGTTTATTTGCCCAGCATGCCAGCACAAAGCAAAGGACTGCTGACAGTCCTTTAAAGTCAGTGCCAGAGGCGAAAGTCAAGGCTGCTAATTAAGTGCTTTTTGGGGTTAAATACATATGTACCGAAAAAGGGCTTGCATTTCGGTTACAGGGATCAGACTTAAGCCGGGATTTCCGCCAGTCTCGGGCTGTTAAGTGTATCAGGCTTTAAGCTGCTGGAATTACCATCAATTTTTGAGAGCTTCCACGCAGAACGCGAGACACATTCAGACATATGTGGATAAAATAAGAGTGTGAATAAAATAACTAATACCCGTTGGTTGCTGGCTGTCAGATTTTCTCTTTATTAAACCAGGATGGCATCTAATTAGGATGCAGTGTTCGGGCTGTGTATTCATCGCGCGGGGGGCTTTTCGTTAATGACACTTTAATGTGCCACAGAATCGACTGACACAGCTGGGGAAATAAATCAAAAAGGTTACTTTTTTCCTGCATTCTGTAATAGAACCTCGGCGGGCTAGCATATATCACTGGCACCCCCACACCCAGGGACACCCGACTCATCATCTATCAAAATTCACTTTTCATATGTATGTAGATCCTACCTGAACCGACTTACTGACTGTCTGTCTGGCTCTCTCCTGCTCTGGGTGTCGGTCGGGTGGGCTGGCACACATTTAACCCGCACGTAGTCGCAATTTTAATATAATGGCGGCCTGATGCGAAGACGAGTCGAGTTGAAGCCATATCAACGACCTAGTAAGCATCTTTATACAATTTCATGAGGCTGTCAGCACACGCCCACGCACAGGCACACTCACTCAAAAACA